TTTTGTTTACTTTCATTCAATAGCTGTACTCTATTTTTCCTCCATACCTTCTTTTATTGTTGTTGTTGCTGCACTTTGGAATTCACTTACAATAACAGCTGTATAAATGTGGTATCAATAACAAGGCAAGCCAACTGACCCGAAACATTTCTTTAGTTATTTTATATGACTTCTTGTTGTTAAATGTGTGAATGGATGCATGTTTCAGAGGTAAATGTTTGTCCGTTCTCACATCAAATGTGGTACTTCTTTCTACAAGCAAACTCTTGAAGGAATATTTTAAACAAGAAAAAACTTTAACCTAAGCTGTAATACCATTCACAGTGGCATAGCATAAAATGATCTTATTTTGATTTTGTTCGGTCAAATTGTATGACAGCCCTATGTTATAGTGGTCCGAGCTGAAAATTTTTTTGAAAATTGTATCTAGAATATGTCTGGTGAAATAAAAAACTGTTCCATACAAGTACTTCATATTGCCCGGTTAGTTTGTATGACAAGTATATGCTATAGTAATCCGACTTGAACAATTTCTTCGGATATTGTATCTATGCTAAATTTCGTTAATATATCTTGTCAAATAAATAAGTGTTCCATACAAGGAATCAATTTTGACTGATCAGCTTGAGGGCCTATACATGAATATGCTATCGTTGTCCGATATCGCCGATTCCGACAAATACGCAGCTTCTATGGGAGAATAGAGAAAGCGCAAAATTTCAGATCGATATCTCAAAACCTGCGGGACTAGTTCGCGTATTATAAATAGTGAAGAAGGGTTACCACCCGATAAACAAATTAAATATTACAAATAAATGAAATAAATTAATATCAAAGTAAAGGGATTACATAAAAATATTTGTTTCAGATATTTTCTAGAAAAATTGGCAAACTTAAGTAAAAAAATAAATTTATGTGTTAAACAACTACATATAATTAAATTTTGATATAAAATGAGATTATATAATGTGGACCTATCCTACCTGAAAACTTTTGTGACGAAAATATCATATTTTAAATTTGATCACTCACATTTTTAGGACAATGGTTATCTTCAGTGGTATTCAGTAAGATCAAAACCAAACTAAAATGTATTTGATTAATATACTGAACCATATTGTATTTACTGTAGATCATATAAGATTAATAGGTACTTTTAACATAGACATACATCCATTGTGAATATCTTAGAAAAATTTCAAAGTTACAAATATGCAAATTAATACAGAAAATATTGCAACTATCACTTCAATTTTATTAGGTCATGCTAAAATTCGCACAAATATGCTTATCCAAACTAGTTGGCGACCTTTAGTACACATAATCGACTCCTATGACTGAGAGAGCATGGAAAATGTGTTTAGTGACTACGTTCACTGCATAGTAAAAAGTAACTTCATTTCAGCTAAATTACTTTAGCGCCTTCACAAATCCGCACGTTGTTCACTTTGCACTGATGCCAAATAAGAAATTCCATTTCAAATCTTCTAATTCAATTTGTAGCGTAAAAATTATTTAAATAACCCAACAAAATTCTGACAAAACTTTTATAATCTACAATCTTGCACAACAGTCAGTCAGACAGACAACTTAATAGATGTCACTCATACGCACCGACTAACACTTACCACCCGAAAACATGAAAACAATATAGACGAATAAAAAATGTAAACCTGAAAATAAACTTTTGACACGTCTGACATTAAAAAAAAAGACCAAATAAATAAAAATGGCGTAGCAAAAGCACAAAAGAAGTAAACAATTTATTTTAAAGACTACAGAAGACTTATCAAAGTAAAGAAAGCATCAGCCGTACGTGTATATTCAAGTCTTTATGTGTGTGTTTGTGTGTATATATGTGTGTGTATATGCCTAAGACACTACAATCTGCTGTCAAATGTTCAACGTTTTATTCTCTTATCCAATAAATTATAATCAAGAGTGTCAAATTTTTCAAGTTCAATTCCAAAAGGCATTCAAATAAACATACAAACACACACACGCATACATTTTGTATAAGAAGCTTAAGGTATGGGTAGAAAATTCAATTTGCGCACCATCGTCAAAAGGCACAATATGCAACAGAATTCGAAATTTTAGTTGCTGAAATATGTTTAAGAAGGAAATACACCTGCACATAAAAAGGCGTAGCGTAACACAAACTGGCGAAAGGAAGAGACAAGCAAACACTTCTTCTAGTCTGCATGTATTTTATATCTACACTTCCACTTTTCACACTTTTTTTCATAATATTGTGAATACTATTTTGTCTATATATGTATGTGCAGTGCCCCACACTAAACAACGGTTAAAAGTGCGCTCATCGATGCTGCCGATGTCAGCAAAATTGTTATTGTTTGTGTTTTCGCTTGCTTGCATATTTTAGCGCTTCATTTTTCTTTTTTGCTTTCTCTATGTTTTTAATAACAATAAATTGTATTTATTTTTGTTGAATATTTTCGAAAAATTTTACATTTCACATTTTGAATTTTGAATTATCTGTTTTATGTGATAAATCTTAAAGACTGCAAATGAATGCAACTGAGCGATAAATACAGGATGCATCATTGCTGATGTTGTGTGGGAAAACGGCAAACATAGTTGATGTTTATTATTTGTGAAATCTATAAATAAGGATCACTGGAGTTCTTCATTGAAGTTGTCGGACAAAGTAGCATACTTTTGTAGATGTCGCTTTTCAGTAGCTATAACTACTACAGCTAAAAGTGAGGAGGATTAAACTACAACAGCAAGTCTAGATCTTGAAGAATATATAAGTTGGCCTAATATTTTCGGCAAATAGTCTTTCGATGTTGGTGGCAGTAATTACAGACTTATGAACCATTGTTTGTCAGACTGTTAGACCTCTTATCGGCACAGTCTCTAACTTCCCTGACCATATAGATAATTATGGTGTGGAATTGTCGCATTGTGTTCTCATGGAGCAGAATACGTATAATAGTAGTAACCTACATTATATTAGATTAGGTACACTAGAGATCCATGTGTGGCTCAGCAAGAACAGTAGTTATTAATATAACCCAGACTAAGATTGATTTTGAAATTTATTACCGTTGTAGTTTTGAACCATTATGTGATAGAAAAAAAATTTCAAGATTACTACAATTCCTTTGTCAAATAAAATGCTAACCTGAGTAGTCATTTTGAGTTCTTATACTAGTATAAGAAAGCAAGAAAATTTCTTTGGCTATAGAATATACTAAGGATTGGCGGTGTGTTTCTAGCATGATCCTGTAAATCCACAGAACTTATTTTCCAATTCATAAAAATACTGTATTTGAGCACTCGTTTCTTTGTAACTCTATCTCCTTATTGGACAAATAAGTCATCCCTGGTATACATATGTACACCATATACAAATGCAAGTTTATTATCTACCATCAACATGTGTTTGTATATTTGTTTTTAACATCAAGAGACACATTTCCATAATACATGTATAGAGTTCTCGTTTAATCCAATGAAGCAACAATCAGCTTTGCCTTTTTTTGTCACAATGGAAAAAAAAGGTTTCAAATTGAGTGATTCTGTGCTCCAACATGCTGGTTAAGGAAAATGAATGTGAAGGCTTTAACATTGTTCCTTTCATCATATTGAATTTATATTGATAAGTGCATATTGTATGTTGTTGAGTTTTCATCATCTCTACATTGTGTGAGTGAGGTCTGGCTGACTGTCGCGCATATTTTGATGACCTCCGACTCGTATTGTACAAAGGCTATTTTGTATAAGCTTTAGTCAAACAATAGAAATGATTCTATTCTGGCTCAACTGGAAACTGAATAGGTTCAAGTGCTGAAAATGTTGTTATATGTCACTAGAGTACAAACAATTGTGCCACATTAATTAATCATTTTGAAGATTTAAACTTTTGCCTGAAGTGCGAAACAAGCTGATAAAAGCAACCACAAAAGGGTCGAACGAAGATAGTAAAGAAAAAAGAAATTGGCAACAAAGCTGGATTTCAATTTTTGTGCAAAATTTTGTTATATCTATTATTCTTAAACTTAAACAAGTGGATTATAACATCTTATATTAATTTTTGATGCTCCAAAGTTTCAGTTGTTAAATATATTATATTTCTATACTTATAGTTTTTAAAATTTGTCAATCTTGATTATTTAGGTTATAACACTAAAAATATCAAGGAAATTATGGTTAACACTTAAATTTATACCTATACTTACACTTATACTTATACCTATACTTATAATTATACTTATACTTATACTTATACTTCCACTTATACTTATACTTATACTTATACTTATACTTATACTTATACTTATATTTATACTCATAAATATACATACATATATAATTATACTCATACTTATACTTATACTTGTACATATACTTATATTTATACTTTTAATTGTACTTGTACTCATATATGTTGACATAGTATATTTATTTTATATTAAAAAATTTTAAACGTACTAAGCGCGAATTTTATTGTCTCCCGAACGCAAATCGAGTTCGACCACAATGCTTTGTTTTTATTAAAAATTACCTTTCCAGACACAAAGAAAATTGAAAAATCTTCAATTTAATTAAAGCTCTGGCATCACTTTATTAAGTCAATCAAATATAAAATGTTCTTTACACCCTTCTTTCTATACTAAAACAATACACACTTGAAAATAGCATTTACATATTTTAACAATAAATTTTCTATGATGCTGTATGCGTACAATTTCGTACTATGCAAAAGTCCATTTACTTTAGTTCAAAAATATAAACAGAAGAAACTGACAAAGAGAGATGAAATCGTTTGACTGGAACGTTTTCTATTTTTGTTTTGTCTCTATTATTGTCTTTGATGGCCAACAACCATCAATACAGAATATCTCTATGCCTCAAACCATTTATTTGTTTCTTATTTGCTAATTTACTTACATATGTATATGTATATATACGTTTAACTTGCTTATATATACATTGAAGCACAACAGCGTCTCTGCTTTATCTACTTTCAGGAATCTAGCAATTTTCTACCCTCATTTGAAGCGATTTCCTATGCTGTGAAAAGCATTGCGACAAAACTTAATTGGACTCATGTTGACATTTATGTTGGCGGTAAGTCACTGTTATTTACATAACTACATTACAACAATTACATTTCAACAATCTGACTTTCTGAGAACAAATGCATTTTGTTCAAGCAGTGCGGCACAGAACCGAGAAGAGTAAACTGTTCGACTTAATAATTAAATAAAAATTTAATTTTACTGAAATAAATACAGTATGTAGTTATTGAAATATACAGGTATACATATGTAACTCCTCTAGACTGCTTTATTTATCTATATATAATATCTAAGTAGTTCTTCAGTTACTTCCATTTTAATGAAACACAGGGTGGCGCACGAATCGTTTTACAAAAACAAATCGTAATAACTTTTGCTTTAAACATTATTATTACATTTTTTTATAATTGATTACTTTTGAAAATTATAAAACGTAAATCAGCTCCATTTAAATAATAATCTGCCAAACATAAAAAAACCTAAGTCGGTTACTCACTCAGAAAAAGTTATTACGGTTTGTTTTTGTAGCACGTTTCGTGCGATACCCTGTATTTAATTGTTGTCTTCTTTTTTCAATTATTTCTACATACCAATAGTTTATTTACACTTCAATCAGTAAGTTTACTTTTTACTCCTAATATCCCCTCACGATTTCTGTTTTAGGCTGCAATTTATAATATTTATGAGGCTTTTTTGGGATTATAGCATCGCTTTAGTTGTTGTTAATTGTATGTAAATGCCGTTTAGGCTATTTTCACATTTTTTCTACTTACAGCTAAATAAAATAAAATTTGTGTTAGATAACAAAATCGTTGGCACTTAATAATATATATTATGTTATCACTATGTAAATGTCTAGTGACCCAGTAGAAAAATTGGTTTTGTGTTAAAAACAAATAATGACATGAAAACTTGTAATTACTTGCGTTATTATCTAATGATAAATCTTTAGTTCTATTTTTTTTTCACTCTTAAAACACTCCAAGTTTCGTCTCTTGTTTTAAGAATTTTGAATTAGAATAGCTACTTAAATTAAAACATTATAATTAATAGTTTGAAACCGAAAAGTCTAGTCACTAAAAGTTATTATATTAGAAATTTGAAAAATTATTTTACTACAGTACTCTCATCCCTGCCTCGTTCGCCAAGATATGGATAGTAGAGAGTAATAATTTCGAATGAGCAGCCGTGTCGAATATCAATTAGCAAAGTCGAGAAAATAAGGGTCAGACTGAAACCCCTACTCTAATTTTACAATAGTTATACTGACACTTTTGACTTGCCCTAATCTCATAATAAAATTAATTTTTTTTATTTTTGGAGGCAGAGAGTTTTAATTTAAATACATTTAAGCATATAAACGTTTAAATCATCACTAATTTGTTCTTACTGATATAGTACTATCAAAATTCCTAGAGGCGTTCTCCTATTATGATTCACTCAAGTTTATGTATTTAAATTAATCTGCTGACAAGTCGACGGCAAACCGAAAAAGTAAAGCAGAGATCAAAGAAAGCACAAATAAAATACAAACTCTACAAACACTTTATACGTGGGCGCAGTGAGGCATACGCAAAAAATCTTTAAACCAAATATTTCACAGCAGTTCACCTACAGCAAGCAATCTTCATTTGAAAATACGCACATAGACACCAGACATGGTAATCTAAATCAACATTGGCAAACCAGAATATGTAGCAGTAAGAACGTGCAGCTGTGAGTTTCAATTTATGTAACGTATACGCCATCGCGTCTGCGCTGCATATTGACTTTAATGTGTTATACTTGAAACATTCTGCCGGCGAAGGTAGCTGACTTGCTTTCAACTACAACGCTCGTGCTTCACTTTCATCTGGATATGATGTATACATATCCATATATCTACAAGTATATGTATGTACCTATGTTAGCTCGTATTTCACCGCTAAGTTCTGCTGAGATTATTTGGTGTAGGGAAATTGAAAATAATTGCAGCGATAAACACGCCAGTGATGGCAAGCGAGGCAGGTTGGCTACGCAAAAAAAAAGTATGTATAGATGTATGTTAGTATGTCTATGAAGGCAAGGTTAAAAGGCGAAAGGCATTTACACACCAAACTTGCCTTTGACGTTTCTTCATCTACGTCAGCTGCACATTCTCTCAATATGACTTTTAACTTCACTGCTGTTATGTAGCGGAAATTTCATTGCATTGCTGTACACAGCATTTCACGACTACTTCCGCTGAAACTGTTTTAAATTACTGTCATACAAAACTACAAACACAAGTATTTGTGTGCGACTGAAATTTAATAAGTTTTTGCACTTGTCGAAGAAATTTCACAACTACTTTCATACCAAATTATAGCCTGGAAATTGAATTTGCACGCACATTCAAATACTTGTATGCCATGCTTATTTAATTTGCTTTAATTCGATAGTAAATTGTGCTCATTAATTTAAAACTATTTTGAATTATCAGCGTTGTATTAGAATAAATACACAAATAGCTTTTAAAATTTAATTTTCTGCTTTTTAATAAAGCTTCCTTTTTGTAGTCACTTTATTTTATTTTCGAGAAAGGCAAATATTAATATAATAGATTCAGTAAACTTATATCCACTACTTTTGCATTAGATTGAAGATTTTATTTAGCATAGTTAGAAAAGTCGATTTAAGACATGAAAAAACATTAACTGCACAGGTTAATTTTTTATAGCATGCAGGGGTTTAAAAAAATCTTAATTCTAATTTTTATCGGTCAAATCGAATGGCAGATATATGCTATAATAGTTCGATCTAAACGATCTTTTCGTAGATTTTGCCGTTATCTTAAACAATAACTCATGTTAAATTTCGTTATGGTATTTTGTCAAATCAAAAATTTTTCCATACAACATACGGTGCTTCTGGCGAGTAACAATCGATTTGTGTGGCATGGCGCTGTCCTGATGTAACACAATTTCTATTCTATTGGCCGCTTCTGTGCGATTGCTTCCTTAATACGGTCCAATTTTTGATAGTACATATTTAAAATAAAAGTTTGGCCGCAAGATAGGAGTAGATGATTCCTTGCCAATAACACTAAACATATAGCAAAACCTTCGTGACCATCAATCCTAGCTTGAACATTGTTTGTGCTGCCATGCCGCGAGTGCAATACCACAGTTTTCACTTGATGTTGCCCTAAGTGACCCACTCTTCATCAGTAGTAACCATCCACTATAGAAACGGCTCGATATTATTGCGATTCAGCTATGCTTCCCAAACGAAAATGCATTGGGATAGCATTTCATATTCTAGAAAGGAATAAAAATATGATTTAATATTAAATAATCCAGAAGTATGCAAATACAAATTAAATAAAGTAAATATGTAAAAATAATCAATTAATTTGTAGCACAAAAAGTGAAAATGCATATGCTTGTATTCAACACATTTACCATTACTATATATTGTATATTCATAATTGTCAGAGCCTTTTGAAAACTCAATCAATTAGTTATTTTTTCATTAAAGTTTTTTTTTTTGTTAGTTAAATTGCATAAAGTATATTAAAGATGTGAATTATCTGAACAAAAATCACACTTTTTTTTATCTACATTGAATTGCCTTTAAAGTTCGATAGCAAACAGGTAATCCACAAATTCAATAGAAAAACGAAATTGCAATTTAAAATCATAAAAACTGCGCACTTGTATGGTTTCCGGTAAGCACTGGAGTAAAAAAACTGAATGACAATTAATTAAAATTTTGCATATAACCAAACAATTGAGCTGAGTAAATAAATGTGCCATAAGTGGCGAGATAAACAAATGAATGAATGCATTTACGAGTGAATGGGATTACATTTGTTATACTTACGTTGTTTATGGGCAGATTGTTTGCACAATTTACGATTTTAAGGCATAAATGAAAATAAATACACAACAATTGCTTGATTTACACATGCAGAAATTACTGATAACAATAAAATAGTAATTAAAATATTTTTCAAGGACATTAATATTTCCGGCATCATTAGCTATAGATTTAAATACTACACATTCAAATTATATATATATATATATATGGCAGTGTAGTAGTCATATACATTATCTCGTATGTTTGCATACAACTAGCTATATATAGGGTGCATTTTTAGAATTAAAGAAATTCATAGAGGGATGCATAGCTGTCAAACCAGCTACCACAAACCAAATGTCAAAAGTATACACATGCGTCTGCCAATTCTGCTAACCAGACTTTGCCAAGCTACACGAGCGACACTTATACCGGTATTAAAACTGACAGGATATTTATGGCATGGCATTAAAATTCTTACTTCTTGCTTCCTTGTATTCAAAAAACTTACTTTTCGATATGGCTCGCATAACGAAGACATTATTGCTGTTGCGATTTTTTGGTAATTCCACTTCTTTTCCTTTGTTTTATTGTTAGCAAAAACTCTATAACACTAAAGAATCACCCTTTAGTCAGGTCATTGGGTATTGTATGAGCATTAACTGAGCTCACATTATCAGATTCAATTGTCTGTCACTTAATTGCATAATCCATACGCATTTCAAACGTTCTGCTATTTTAATTTGTGTTATTAAATACCATGCGTTATAAATTGGATGAGATATATATTTTTCATGTTATAAATGGGTATTATGCTTTAAAATATGCACATAACATAACATAAACACAGCCGCTTCCCAAAAAATATTGTCCAAAATGCGTTGTTAATTCTTAAAAATTAAATATATAACTCTGTAAATACTCTAAACAAAACAAATGTAAATATAATATAGATTCATTAAAAGACATTCACACAAGGTAAAATAGTAAAATCATAAAGTTTATGGGTTGTGCTGTTCACATGGTGCGGAAAGTATGTAATTGAAACACTTTCAGGCTAACTCACTGCTTCTATGTTACTCATAATCTACAGTTACTCATTAGTATCAAAGCAGAATAGAATTCAAGCAAGCGGGTGGTCAGTTAAGCAGAACAGTCAGGTAAAAAGTAGACTCATTGACTGGCGTTGAATAAACGCATACTTAATCGTTGAGTATATATAAGTGG